AATGAGCTCATTAAATATGTATATGCTCATTGGGCTTGGTGTATCTAGCTTTATTATTTTATTGTCTGGCAATCCTGTTGAATGCTTTGAGATATTGGATGCTATGTAGTATTAAGCTAATCTAAAATATATAAGTTCAAATTTTCCAGAACATGTCATGATTTACTTTGAATCTTCAGAAATAGTAACAATAATACCAATTTTTGAAAAACTTAAAATCCTTGAATTATATCAAGTTTTTATAGGATAGGTTTATGTGCCAGCATTTGGAAAGTTTCTATTTTATAATATCAATTCAGACTTAATCACTAATTTATCAAGTTTGATAGTGTAAATTGGTATGGCAGGAGTTTTATTTTTGATATCTAAGATGTATTTAAAGATAGTTTTTAACATCTAGTACACCAAGATCAGGACTTTCATTTATTGCAATAAAATGCTTTGTATCACATAATAGATTGCGTTTTTGGTACATAAAATTAATAGGTTAAGCCTTGGGATTAATTAAATGATGTCATTATAGGGGGTTGTGTATATCATTAAAGCAAATTGTTGGGACTTACTTTTTAAGACTATGTTGTATCTCTATTCTGAAAAGGAGAATAATCTTAGAAATTAAATCTAGGATATACTTGCATAGTCTTTATTAGTAAGTGTTTTAGTATTAGTTTTCTATATTTTTAAAATAAAGGATTCATAAATGGCATTAAAAAAAAGGAAAAGTCTTTGTTATGATGGCTTGAATGTTGCTAAAAAGATATTATTTGTTTTAGTTTTAATTGGATGCTAAAAAAGCTAATTATTATAATCAATTTTATTATCATTGATCAATTCTATTTACCTAACAATTATTGTGTTAGGCAAAATGGTTAACTCGAAGATTGATTTAATCATAATTCTAATGTTTGAAATACCTGTTATCATATTTACTCTACTTAATATTTGTCATGAAGAAACTTACTCTCATTTTTTAAGTTTATAATCTTAAGTTATGGTTGGATTCGGATAGATTGGACTTTTATCGTTCGGAATAATGGCACCTTTAATAAAATATGGACATCAAATCAAAAGTAAACTGACAATATTAATTAAAAGATGGAAAAAATATAAAGTAAATTAAAAAGAACAAGCTTAGTCCTCTCTTTTTATCTGAAATAAATTATTTGAATTATAAATTATTTCGATTTCAAGGGTTTAATTTCTTTTTGATAATATTTATCATATATTAATATAGCTTTTCGAATAATCTCATAAAGTAATTGAACAAACTAAATTAGTACAAAACATTTTTAATCTTAATTTTTTATTTTTGTTCAATTTCATGCTTATATTAATAAAATTTATAAAATAAATTGTCTCTCCCTAATAAATCTCTTCATTTTAAAAGCAATATATTGATTAATCAGAATAAATTCTAGATTTCTACTAATAAAATGAAAATTATGCAAATTTAGTTTATCATATTTGCCCTAAGTATGCAAAAGTTGCAAATAAAAATTTAAGAGTGCATTTGATAAAATTAAGATAATGGTGGCTGCTTTTTTAATTGAAGGTTATTGGCTCTTCTTTGATTAGCATATATATAATTTTATATTTCTCTGTTGTTATTTGCTTTTTTAAGCTTTAAAACTATTTCTGTATCAAACTGTTAGTATTAAAGATAGCACTCCTGACTTAAATCAAAAATTTTGAAAACATAAATAAGAACACAACAGTTAGAATTATTAAATAAATGAAGCATTGAATTTTCAAAAAACTCATTTGCTATAATTTACCCTGAATTTAAACTTAATAAATTATTAATGTTTTAATGAGTAGAATTACACCATAAATTTGTATTATAATTACTGCATTTAAAAACATTGTCTTTCCCCTATAAAAATCGAATTTTATCAACATTTAATCGTAGATAACAAAAAAACGGTTCTGATCAGTTGCGCATGAATTTCTATGTATCTCTTAAAAATAACATAAATTAATTAGAGTATAATTTAAAATTCTAATTTCTTCGTAAATTTTAAACTTTTTGAATAGGTAATTTTAATGAAATTTTAATATTATTTAATAAATGTGCATCATTAGATAATCTACTTTAAGTTGAAATGTTTTAATTAATTTTGAATTTGTAATAAAAAGGAATTAGAATAGAAAAATACTATTCTGAAAAAAAAGATAATTTAAAAAAAATCCAAATGTCGAGAAAAAGTTACAATTTGAGATCCAAGGGAGGAAGTCCCTATTCGGGCAATATTTAATCAATATCCCCAAATAGGATAACTATGAAGGCCTGGTCGCCGAATGTTGATCAGAAAGTTCATAGAGAAGGTGTTATGGAGGACCCAATTTAAAAAACATTATTCTTTTGGGGCTCAAGACCCAAAGTAGGTGAGAGTGAGAAGGATCTACTGTTTAGAGAATGAAGAATTGCTGGATGGAAAGGAAAGGGAAGTCGTACGGAATGGAGGAGCTCCT